TGTGAAAAAATAAACAAGGATGTTTATAAACAAATTAAATAGAATACAGGCTCCTTCAATTGGTTGTTATAATGAGTCATGAGTCATGAAAACTGGATGCCCAGTGCATCTTGCCCCTCACTGTTGATGGTATTTGAGATTCTATCTCTTTGTATCTTTGCTGGCACATTGACTTAATTGACCATGAACATATAGCAGAATTGATATTCAGAGACCTCTCACGGTGGGTCTTAAGAAATCTTGCAACAACATTCAAGAGCTCTTAAACACTTATTCTTGGGATAGCCCCAAGAAACAAGATTCATTTGAAAAATAAATGAGTAACTTCCATTTATTTACCTGATTTCTTTTGATCTCTGCTGTCAGTGTATAGGGTGTGCAAAAGCAGCTGTGACCAAAAGGACTTCTTGCTGGAGCTTGGACTTACTTGTACTCATTGTTCACGATCCATCTACAAGTAATCTTTCAGTCTTTTGATGATATTTAAGGAATGGGCCACAGCCATGGCTATCCTGCCCAATATGTGATTTTTCTTTGTCTTCTTTATCCTAGACAGATGGGGCAGATTCAAAAGCTTCCACTTTATCTTCTCCAGGATGGCATCTCATTTCCCATAGATCTAGGACCTGATGTAGGACTCTACTGTACAAGTGCAGTATTTTCTATTATATACCTCTGGTTTTATAAGTGTTGTTGGGTATGGCTGCAGTACCAGGAGAGGGAAATGGGCCAGATATTAACCTTGAATTCACATACCATGAGGCCTCACTTCATCCTCTCTAATAGGAGAGCATTGATGATATTTTAGTTTTTGGAGTATCACTGTCAAGTGAGACCACATGTCAATATACCTTGAAAAATCTGGGACTATCCTTTTGCTGTGTATACAGTCAACTGTATGAATGGAGAACATTCTTTCTGTGAAGGAGTGAGGATAAATATTGTAAGTGAATGCTTGCCAGGGTGTTGAACATGTAGTAAACTACACACTGGGTTACTACACACTCAAGAAATGAGGTCCATAAATTGAGTGATGAAAACTGTTATTGGGGGAGACCTCTCTTGATTCTGACTGTGTATCTTAAACAGTATTCTTGGTAACTGTTCTCTGATTTTGACCCTACCACACCACGTTGCATTAGCAATCTCCATAACTTCCTGTGAATTAAGGCTTTTGGCTGTTCCTTTGAATTCCTTCTGTTATGGATTGTAAACTTATTATTTTAGTGGTTCAGTTCTCTCATATATCATCTAAGCTTGCGCACCTTTTTCTACCTCACGGTTAGCAGCAGTCCAGTTATATGGATTTCTACTCAATCTTCAGATGTGGTTTACAGATAAGAGTCACTTTTCCACCACTAGAACATTCCTAATGCCTTTGGTGAAAGGCATATTTTATTTAGATTCTCTTAGGAGAATAATATCATGATGGATTATCTGATCTCACATAATATATCCATTCCAACATTACCGCTTTTCCTTAGTTTCTTTATTCCTTTTCCTATACTCTGTTAACTATGGCATTTTATCATCAATGAGCGTGATACATTGATATTCCTAGACTTTAAAAACTAACACTACTGTAAATTGCCATCATCTACTGCTTGGAAATTCATTTTACCCCAGCTAGTGCATATTGCTAAAATTCCCATTTACTCATAATGTCAGTCTTTTCCAACTGAATAATTACTACTTTAAAATAAAATCATTGAAATAGAGTACCATAAAAGTGTTATTATTCAAATAAAATATGTTTATTTCAAGGACTACACAAATAGGCAGAAAAGCTTCCATTTTCCTATTACATGAGCAATATAGTAATATCTTAAATATGTTTTCACATAAAAGCATTTAATATCATAAAAAATCAAATATATAAAATGCTATTCTAAAAAAGTCAACATATGATTCCATGGCTAGTATCCTTTTGTTTCAACTTTCTCTTATATTACATGCAAAGTCATTCCTTGATACACTGGACTTCTTTTTCTTTTAACTTGTTCTGTATGTGACAAATATTATAATAAAGAAGTTGAAAAAAAGCATTGTTGCACATCCATATTTCCTTCTAACTATGATGTACCAGAAGGGTTTTCTAGGGTCTTCATGTCAAGATTTTTTTCTGATTATTCTATACAATGCCCCCTTTACCTCCTTGTTTCTCAAAGTATAGATCAGTGGATTTAGAACAGGGGTGACCACCGTGTACATGATAGCAACCACCCGTTCCTGGTCCATGGTGCTTCCTGAAGTAGGACGAGTGTAAGTGAAGAGAACAGGGGCATAAAAAAGAATAACTACCATAAAATGTGAAGCACAAGTGGACAGTGCCTTGTGAAGCATGCTGCAAGAACGGGTCTTGTAGCAGAGATAGGTGATAATGTAGAAATAGGAGAGAAGTGTTAGAGAGAATGAGCCTATGGCAATTGTCCCTGTGACAACATTGAGCAGCCACTGGTTGAGCTTGGTGCTCCCACAGGCCACATCTAGCAATGGCTTAATGTCACAATAGAAATGGTCAATATGATTAGAACCACAGAAGTTTAAACGTGAGGTCATAATGGCATGCAGCAAGGCATGAAAAAAGCCAAGAGTCCAGATCGTGACAGCCATCTGTGTACAGCGTTGATGACTCATGATGACAGTGTAATGAAGAGGTTTGCAGATAGCCACGAAGCGGTCCAAGGCCATCACGGCCAATAACATGGCCTCTGTGCTTCCCAGGAAATGGAAGAAATGCAGTTGTGTTATACATCCGAAGAAAGAAATTGCTTTGTGTGCAGAGAGGAAGTTCTCCAGCATTTTTGGCAGAGTCACTGTGGAGTAGGAGATATCTAGACAGGAGAGGTTTCCCAAGAAGAAATACATTGGTGAATAGAGTTTAGGATCAGAGGTGATAATAAGCAGGATGGCCCCATTCCCGGTCACATTGACAAAGTAGATGACAAGGAAAACCACGAAGAGCCAAGGTTCCAGCCATTGGATATCGGTCACTCCCAGCAGGATAAACTCAGGGGCTGAGGTTTGATTCTTCATCACTTAAAGAAAAAGACAAATCTATGGAAATGTGTTTCTAATGGACATAATTCCATCTAGCTCAATATTTTGCCATCTAGGCAAACAATATGTACAAGACAGTGTTGCCATTTTACATTGTTCCAAACTCAGTGGTGTTATGGTATTTAGACCATGAGAGAGCTGAATTCATTATGTCTAAGACTCAATCATTTTCCTTTTTTAGATTATTGTCAATAATTTCCTCTCTCTGGAGACTATAGAATGTTGATAACCTAGTACCTACCATCTTCTCTGACTTGAAGATCCATATTCTAACACAAAGTTACTTTCATCTTTGTAATTCAGCTCTAAAGCCAGATTTTCATTGGTAAAAGAAATTGAAGAAGACACAAAAAAATGGAAAGATATCTGCTGCTCATTGATTGGGAGAATTAGCTATTAAAATGACCATCCTACTGAAAACAATTTGCAGATTCAGTAATATTAAAATAAACACCTTTCAATGATATTCTTCAAAGAAATTGAACAAATAGTGATGAGATTCACATGGAGCCACAAAAATCTCTCAATGTGAAAGCCCTCCAATGGAGGTATCACACTCCCAGATTTCACAGTATAGTAGAAAGCCATAATATTTGTAAGTGCTTGGTACTGGAACAAAAACAGACACAGACAAATAAACCCACAGATTTATGGACCACTAATCTTCAAGAAAGGAGCAAAAGTTATGTAGTGGAACAAAGAAAGATTGTTCAATAAACGGTGCTGAGAAAACTGGGCAGCTACATGCAAAAGAAAGAAGCTGGATTAATGCCTCACACCATGCACATACACAAAAATATCCTCTCAAAATGGATTAAAAATGATATAAGACTTGAACCCATAAAATTTGTAAAAGAAAATATAAGCATAACCTCTGTAATATCTTCAAGGATACATCACCCAAAGGAAAGACAGTGAGGGAAAAGATAAACAGCTAGAATTACGTCAAATTTAAGAGCTTTTGTAGAGCAAAATCAACATTAACTAGAACAAAGAGATATCCTAGCTATTAGGAGAAAAATTTTGCCCACAATACTAATGATAAAGGACTGATTGCAAAGGTCTACAAAGGGCTGACAAAGTCAACAATAACAAAATAAACAACAAAGTCAAAAACAGCATAAGAGCTAAAAACACTTCTCCAAAGAGGAAATGTTAATGACCAACAGGCATATCGAAAAATGTTTAACATCACTTGTATTCAGGAAAATGCAATCAAAATTACTTGTATTCAGGAAAATGCAATGAGATACCATTTTACACCAGTGACAGTGGCACATATTAAAAAATGCAACAACAGTTGTTGGTGAGAATGTGGAGAAAAAGAAACTCTCCTACACTGCTGGTGGGGATTCAAATTGTTCCAATCACTATGGAAAGCTGTGGAGATTATTCCAAGCTGCTAAAAATGGAGCTTCCATATGATCCAGGAATTCCACTACTAGGTACCTACCCAGGGAACCAAAATAAACATTAATTCCGAAGGACACTTGCATCCCCCTGTTTTTTGCAACACTATTATAATAAGTTATGGAAACAAACCAGATGTCTCAAAATATACGACTGGGTCAAGAAGATGCAGTATATATACACACTGGAATATTATTACTTGGCAATCAAAAAGATAAACTCATGTCATTTGAAGAATGGAAGGGATCATGTTCGGTGAAATAAGCTAGAAAGAAAAAAAAATTACCATGTGGTAGGAGGAATGTATGGGGTCCAAGTAAGGGATCGGAAAAGGAAAATAGTAATTATATTCAAGTAAAAACCAAAATCAACAGGTGACTATAAACCAGAGACATTCTGCAGTGGGGGTGAGGGGATAGGATCA